TCTATAAAACTTGATAAAGAAATGTTAGTAAGACATTAGGGAGTTCTTTTGTCGTTTAGTTTGCAAACTGTCTCTACCAATCTTTTGCAGCCAAATTCTTGCTCAACAGGCTTTCTTTTTGGGGTAAATTTCTTTTACTTTGACACTTCTAGGAATGGTGAACGAAGTTAAAACTGACTCGACTACATTGAACAAGGAGCATGACCATTGGCCAAACTAAATTGGAAAATGAACATGACATTATACTATACTTGGCTTAAAGTGTATTTTTGGCCTTCTTGTTTTAATTCAGCCCATTTTCAGCCATAGATAACCAGGAAGACTGTTAGGTAGCTTTATATGATAAATTACTGCACTGAATTAAATTTTGTTAGAAATGACACGTTAGTTAGAGATATACATACATACATACATACATATATACGTGTGTGTGTGTGTGTGTGTGAGAGAGAGAGAGAGAGAGAGAGAGAGAGAGAGCATAAATTGTATACCAGCAGCAAAATGTGATTACCTGTTTCAGCAATGATCTTTCTTTCTGATGTTACTTACAAAGGGAGGGAGAGGTGAAAGCATAATTTGTACCCACACTCTGTTTCAAGGATGATGTTTCTTCTTGATATTACGTGCAAATTTATCTAGTAGTTGAGGTGCGAATTGTACTCCAGCTACAGATGGTGATTGTTTGTTTCAATAATATTGTTTCTTTCTGATGTTACTGATATACTTAACTGGTTGTTGATATGTAAAATACTTTTACGCTTGCTGGTACTACTGTTAACTTATCTTCTTCCCCTTTTGTCTGGTATGTTAGGGGGCAAACTCCGTCACCATAATTGATAATTGTGCTTGTTTAACTTACCAAAACAAGAATGACTTTTGTACTTCTTAAGTCCTTGTCCTGCATGTGAAATTTTTCAGGTAATTCTGTTGCATTGTTTACTTTCTGAAACTTGACTCATAATTTTTAACCATGATTACTTGCAGGAAATGATGAATAATGGTGCAAAATATGTCAGAGATGGAAGCTATGCACCTGGGGTATGCAGATGATTGTTATTTTCTTTATAGTCATGGAGTTAATACAAGTGCTTTCTGATAATTTTTCTTTTCATTGTTCTTCAGGTCAAACATGAAGCTGGGGGTTAGTATTATTTTTCTTGATTATTCTATTCTTTGGCTGCTATGGAGTCCTTGTGTAAGAGCTGCAAACACATGAATCATTTCTAATCTATGTCCAATGATGTGACCTTCTTGGGATTTTGCAAAAATTCAGATTTTCTAGGGACAAGTTTAGCACTGTTTAGCTTAATGCTTCCTCATTCTTGGATGGTGTCTTTTGAATGTTGAGAGTATTTTTTGGAGTATATAATTCGTCGAAGTTTTCTAGACCAGACTTTTAAATTCTTGCAGGTTGGCTATATATAGAGTAGCTTGAAGGTTACTTTAGATCTGAAAGTTAAAATTTCCATCAATCAATTGTTTTTCTGTGTTTGTGTTCATGTTTGTATCTGCAAGTATCTGAGTGTGTATGTGTGAGATGGAGGACACATTTTTCTGTTCTGTCTTTCATTTTCCCCCCTTAAAATCTTTCTTTATTGTGAATATGTGTGTAGGACTTCCTCTGTTACTCAAAAAGCAGTGGACTAGGAGGAACTTCATTACTTCCCAGTCGTCATTTCAACCAGCCATGATGAGTCGAATAAATTCCAACATATCTTCCTCAGCTAGATCCTTTTCAATAAAGGCATCTGATTCAAAGGGTCAAAATGAATCAGAGGTTTCTCTCTAAATTCAAATATAATGCTTGATTATGCGGTGTGGATCAACTTTGTTCTGTGGTTGTTATGCAATTTATTTATGTTTAAGTACCATCTAGATTGCTACTGTGCTTTGCACATAATGTTGTCAGTGGTTCCTTTACATTCATATGCTTAATTGCATGTGTTAATTTTTAGTATTGGTTAATTATCAGAATTATTTGTAAAATAGGAAACAAAGTATGGAGGGTTGTCTTTTGAGGAGAAACATCAGTGACTGGAGAATATGAGATGTGAAGAACAACTAAGGGGTAGATGATAAAAAGTTAATTCTTGCCTCTCCCGAAGCCTCCTTAGCTGACTGGTTAATTTTAGGTATGTCTAAAGTAAAGCAAACACTGGGGAAAGATGAAAAGTACGAGCACATAAGCTGGCCCATTATATACATCGTGAACCACGTCATTCACTTGTCTGTGATATGTCTACAGTTTAAACCAGATTTTAGTTTAATGTTATGAATTCTTGTCATACATATTGCAGTCTAAATCCTGTGGTAAAGTTTCCTAGACAGTTTTTTAGCTGGTCATTGGTGATGTATTGCACTCTAAGTAGCAAGGAGTCATTATTAGGAATTGCTTTAGGGAGATATACTTTGCTTAAGCAACTGAAGATGTGCTTGACTTTATTGCATCTTTTCTTATCTTGAAATATGCTACATCAACTCATACACTGCTTTACAATTTTGCAAGCTTCATGCAAATAGTTGATGGAGTTGTAAGCATCTCGTTATTTTTTGTAGACTAAAAAAAATGCCAGCCATTTTCTTATGATTTGCTTCATTTCCTTTTGCTGGTATCTCTGAATCCTGTTGTTGTAACCACAAGGAACTATGTCCTTCGGTCCTCCTTTTAACAGACTCGCAAAGATATATCTACTGTTGAAGATCCATTTGATGCTCCAACATATAACATCCCTGAGAAGCCAGTGACATTTGTAGAAGGGGCTTCCTACACTGTATTCATTCTTGCTGGACTTGGAGTTGCTATTGCTGCGGCTTATGCAGTTCTTACTGAGCTTGTATTTGAACCAAAGGAGTAAGATTCTGACTTACCTCTATATTGTTTATATGTTCGGTTTCAGTATCTGATTTGATTTTTTTCCCCATTATCTTTCAAGATTACTTTAAATGAGATGAATTTTGTGTCTTACAGGTATAAAATTTTTGGGAAGGCTCTGGAAAGGGTTCAAAATGATAGCCAAGTATGTCTTACCTGAAATTTTTTTAAGTGTTTCCAGTGGCATTGCAGGATCACCTCTACCATGAAAGTTAGAATTGAACAGTTCGACATAGTCAAGACTGTTATTGTGGGAGTTATTTTAGGTTGCATTAGTGTGGTTAACCTGAGAATTCTAATCTTTTTTTATCTGAGGCAAAAAATTTAGGACTGCATATGGTTATTACGCATACTTGAATGGTGGTTTTGTGTTTTCCTAGATCTTTTATTCATGATGGTGTAGCAAGAACATGGAATAGATACGAGAATAATGATGATAATGTAAACGGACGGTTGTTTCGTGCTTAAAGGTGAGGCTTAACCATTTTTCTGACTAAAGTCCAAGTTTTGGAAGTGGAGTAACAGGCTAGCTTTGGAAGTTAGGACAGGACACGGTTTATCTTTTTGAGAGATTTGATTGCTGCTTCTGTGTTTCTTTTAGTTGTTTTGGATTCTCTTATTTCTTCATAAACTATAGCACGAATCAAGTTGATTTTGTGTGATTTTTCTCATTGATTATATCCTTCCTACTGCATCTTCTGGTTTAAGTGGCTTTAATTTGCTTTGCACCAGGTAAGGGTGAGAATTGGATCCCCCATAACTGGTTATGGTTCAGAAAGTAGGAATCGAGCTGCTCGCCAGCGCATTCCAAACAGGATATGGACCAAAGATGGTGTTGAGCATGTTGCGGTAAGGGTTCAGGAATAGTCCCTTGATTTCAGCATTTATGACTTATATATTATATTCTGTTTATCTTCTTACTCTACACTACAAACTTGCTTTTCATTAAAAAAAAACAAGATATAGGCTTTGGTTACTGCATCTTCAGCTGAAAACTTGAAATTACAGCCATCTAATACTATAAGGATATCAGATTTGTGTTTTTTAAGTACGTGCTCAATTAAATGTAGGTTGATTTCTACATCCGCGGCCCCCATGGAGCTGGCAAAGTTTATGCAGAGATGTTCAAAGATGAGGACAAGCAATGGAAGTTTGTTTCTTTGGTGGTTGAGCTTACATCACCATCTCGGCAAATGCTTTTGCTGGAGTCATACATCCCAGCCTGAAAGGAGTTACATACATTGTTCGATCGGAAATTTGCTGCACCCGTGGATGTCAACCAGATTTCTATTTCGTTGGATTTCGCCTGTTTCTTTTCATTCACCACCGAGTGACGGTATTGGAATGGGCTTTTTGATGTCTGAGGCAATTGGAATATATGGTAGCAACTTTACAATGTAGCACGGAATATTTAGCTGATCTGAAGGTAGTCTGCACTCTTTAGGGTTTGGATATCTGCCCTTTTTTTTTTGGTCCTCGTTGGCAATTTGTTTGCCACCTCTTGAAGTTGGGCAGGGTAATTTATGGTGGTTTGCTGTTGTTGGGATTTAGGTTTTTGGGAACTGGCAGACGTTGATTAAATTGGGGTTTTGAATCCCCTCTCGTTTCATTTTTGTTAGAAGCTGTAGGATGGATTGATAATTCAGTGTGGCATCTTTTCTAATTCAACATAAGTTTCTTCCTCGTGATTTAACTCTTTCTTATACAAGCTTGGCTTGCGCCATAGGCGTTTTCCTTCAGTTTCTAGCAATTTTTCCTCCCGTGTTGGGAAGGAAAAGAAAAAATAAATTTGTTGTAAAATCAATGGTCTGGAGGATACGTGTTTTTGCTTCAGACCTCAGTTTACCAATTGCCCTTGCCTTCCACTCGACTTACTAGAGACTTGCTTTTATCCTACACCTACAGCTTCAAAACATTTTTGGAGTCAGCTTACTAATTGTTTTATTGGAATCGTTTTGTAGTTTGTATTCGGCTTCCTTTCAAAGGACAACGATTAACTTAATAGAGAGAGAGAGTTATCGCAAACATAATCTTGGAAGAAGCTTCCCACCATTGGTAAATGTTGGCAGTAAAAATTATGATTATCGCTCCACTGAACAAATCCTAACAAGATTTGCAATTTTCCTACTGTAACCAACTGCTTAAGTTTATTAATCTACTGGACCATATGAATTTGTCCACAGACCACTTTTTTTTTTATTTTTAATCACTGAGAAACAGATCAGCTTAAAACTAAAAGAAACATTAAAATGGCCACTATCACATAAAAGTACACCTCCAAAAGCATCCATTCAGAGGGATTTTAAAACAACAGTCATCATGCACTAAAAATGCACAAAATCGTCATATTGCTAAAGGAGAGAGTACTTCTCAAAAGAGATTGCTTCTGAGCTCCACTACCACGAAGGATTAAAAATTCAATGATGAGCTTTGTGTTTGCGAGCACTTCAGGGCAAGATCAGGAAGGGAGATCCTGAATGCCATAGGTTTGCCATGACATAACCATAATTAATTGTCTTGTGCTCTTGGTCGTATTCCAAGCCCAGACCTTATATTTGCACCTAGAGTCTTCATGTCATCCACCTAAAAGATTATGACAGAGAGATACTCTGTGATCAGATTACACAATAAACAATCTATCTGGATGGCACACGTTGACAATAATGGCCAATAAGCATGAGCAATGCTGATAGGATAGAATTTCAGATCAACAGCAGTAAATTTGGCAAAGATGATGCCCTATAAACACCTAGTTGTGACCATTAAGGCACTAATATACAGCTAGCAATGGTGCAGAAACAAGCAGACATGACCATAACAGAAACTGGACCACAATCCCCAAACTAAAAAGAAAGAGGGCAGAAGAAAGAAAATCCAGATAAGAGAGAAAAAGGCAATATAGTTATCTTGATTCTCTGATTTATTCAACACGACAATGCCCAAACTGTTAAAGTTGAGAATAACAAAAGCAAGAATGCTTGCTTTGGCCCAATGAAGGTTGCTTCAACAGAAAGGTGATACCCACCTTTTTGCTTCTTATTTCAGCCAAGTAATTAGGATTAGCATTCATTTCTAGAGGCACGGTTCTTGCAAAGCTTCCACTACTGCATACAAAATTCCCCAACGTCCCATATAGAAAGGATATAGGGTGCAGAATAAAACACAATTTCCAGATTCAATGTTTCCACAATTGAACGTTAGTAGAATTGATCTGACAAAACACAATGACCAATTTCCAGAGCTAAAAATGTGATAATCACTTTGCAAAATCTAACCTTTTATGAAGAGCCAGGGACACATATCACAACATTTACTAATTCATTGACACACGTCACAACCATAACTCAATAGTACTCCTCTTCTGGCTGGAGAAAGATACTGAACTTGATGAATTTCAGCTTCGTGTAAAAAATACATGGAGTAATATTTATGCCCTTTGGTAGATAGGTAAGGAAATAGCTTTAATTGGAAGAGACTACAAAAATTATGGCTACCTAGACAACTGAAATCCAAAATCCCAACTATCCTGAACTCGTATATAGGTTATAGTGATGTCAACACAATTTCCTTTACCAAATATCTCATTTCACCAGGCAAATGCACCCTAGAGTTCAAAAAGAAAGTACTTTTCGCTTGTTTACAAAGCAAAATCTAAAAATTAACGGGAGTAATTGACAGTTCAAACTTCCAAGACTGCACCCTTCACTGCAATTGCAACCAAAATTTCTGAAGTAAATAGACAAAGAAAGAGAAAGAGAGTTACCGAGTGGATGCCAGAGGCTCGGAGAGAACCGATGGTGGCGGAAGCGGCGGAGCCAACGAAGAGGGATGCCACGCCGAAGGCCTTAAAAGGCATTAAACGAGAATCGCCTGCATAACCTCGCCGGAGAGATAAAATAGCCCATAATAATTGGACCGAACTTGCCCCCGCCCAATACCAGTAGCCTTCTACGCCACCGCTCCACCGACGAGGACCATCACTCTCTTCATTTAGCTCCATCTCATCTCCGTCCATCCGCCATTTCCCTTCTTCTCCTTCTAAAGCTGTTTTTTTTTTCTTTTTCTTTTCTATTTCTTCTTCACTCCCCGCCGCGGTTGAATCTTGGACTATAAGATTTGGGCTTTGGCCCTGTTCTCTTTCGGCTACAAATTAGGTCCACATGCCAAAAGTCGGGAAATTTGATACATCTGGACACAAAGTATTTAACCCCCGGGTCTCTCAAATTTTGTAGGTTTGAGCCTTTTGTTATCTTTGATCTCATCGTAATTCTAGTGGGGGGTTTCTTAAACTTCAATATATTTTGATTTGTTAGGTTTTTTAATTTTTGTTTAGTTGCTTCACACTGGAGTATGATAAGCATTTGGGATTGTGGTTAAAGTTATTTTGCCCTTTGCGAGGTTCTAAATGGCATGGTACTTAATGTGAACACATACATTTAAAGTTATCTATAAATAATTACATGTATTCGAAAACAAAAGTTTATTCGAATTCCTAAATGCGTGCGTTGGTTGGCAAAGTACCACCCAAAAATCAAAAAGGTCTGGAAGTTTTGAGATTGTGGCCGTGGATTAGGGACTTTTGGAAGTGGGCAAAAAACCTCAGCGACCATTAAATTATTATCAGAATCATGTTTTAACCATCAAACTATTTTTTTTCAATACTTGACCACTAAACAACTTAATCAGTAGACCCGTGGCCATTTCATCGGTAATGACTCTTAATTTCTAAAATTAGTATGACATGTGGCAAAGCACAAGGGCAAATTTGTCCAACAATTTACTGTCATAATTTTGGATCTTGATATGGATCTTGACTAGAAACACCGTCAAATTTCTAATTCCAACATCCATCTCTGGGGAAATCAAATTAATTTCAATTCTCAAGTAAAGATGGCGGATACTACTAGTAATTAATGGGGAAGTTGCACGGGAACAACCTCGGATCCGTGGTACTGGACCACCCGACTCCCCGCGAAGGGGTCAGTTTAAGATTTGGTCAGCCTCATTCCGCCGCATTATAGTGGACACAGTTCGGTGCGGGACATGGCAGCATCATAAGCACAACAACACTGGCAAATTAACCATCCAAGAGCCCAAGCCTGAGCCCGACATTGATCTCACTGCAGTCACAACACTGAGATCTGAGTTGAGTAAAGGTAGTACTAGCGATGGTAGGAGTGAGACTAAATATCCAACAAACACACCGCCCTCCGGATCAGACAAGTTATCAGACCTTCTGAAGTTATCGGAAAACGAAAACGAACCGGACGAGGAGGAGGCGGAGGCGGTGAAAAGGAAAGTGGAGGCACTGGTGGAATTGAAGACAGTGGTGAAGAATCTCCAAAGTAGCAGCAGCAGCAGTGGCAGCAGCCAACAACTCGAAGAAAATGAAAACCATGGCTTCTTAACTCCAGATGTTCGTGTGTTGCAGGCAGCCAAGGAGGTCAGTAGGCTCGCTAAAGGCGATTCTCAAGCCAGAACCACTCTTGCTTTGCTCGGAGCAATCCCCCCGCTCGTGGCTTTGCTGGACGCCCCCTCGCTGCCTCCGGATGTTTGGCCCCGCTCATAATTTGTTTCAACAGTCAGTAAATTGTTGGACAAATTTGCCCTGCGCTTTGTCACGTGTCATGCTAATTTCAGAAATTAAGAGTTATTACTCGGAAATGGTAATTTCAGAAATTAAGAGTTATTACTCGGAAATGGCCACGGGTCTACTGATTAAGTTGTTTAGTGGTCAATTATTGATAAAAAATAGTTCGATGGCCAAAATATGATCCTGACAATAGTTTAATAGCCGCTGAGATTTTTTGCCCTTTGGAAGTTCAATATAAGTCTTAGCTGTTATTATCCTTCAAAACAAAATGAGGGCTCACCCAGTTCCCAAGGTACCTTATCCCAGCTTTTAAACCAAATACAGAGTTTGACGAGTACTCATATCTTGCGAATTGCTCGGGCTTTTGCCCTTCTTAGCTCAATCTTTAAGGTAGCTCTTCGCGTTTCAAACAGGATTTCCTATATATGCTTGAAAGAACCTAAATGCGGAATTCGGTTAAATTTGATTCCACAAATGGGCAACCATAGTAATTGATCTTTACCAACGCCAAATTAGGGCTACATGCCTCGTGTCAATAGATTCCTATTTCGAAGATTCTAGATAAAACAGCATGACAACTACAAAAGCAAATACTTAAATGCAAAAAGGTGTCTGGTACATTCCTAATCCATAAATGGTATGGTATTAACTACATTCCCCTCGTTCTCTCCCCCCATCTTGCTCAAGGCCATAACCCAGCAGGCACAGCATGCATTGTTACAGGAGCACAAGTTGAATACAGGCTCAGGCAGCTCATTCAGCTAGGGTACTTGGAAATTGAGCGTGATGGTACCATCTAATGGCAATTGAAATGCAAGCACCATTGTACTACGTCAAGATGTATATTCCAACAGTCGACGGACTGCACGGAACAAATAACTTGGAAAACTACACGGGCAAAAAGGCTGCATCTGGATAGAGAGAGCAAAAACAGACTAAAAAGATGGTTACCCCGGTACAGAAAATGGTGAAGAGCTACGACAGAGGGAAGGCAAATCAGCAACATCAAAGCACGGATGTTCTTCAGTCATATAGCACATTACAGTACCCCGACGTACAAAAAATAGCTTTCAGAATGCAAGGCCAGAGGTATCTCCTCATTAAGAAAACAACTGCACATGTAGAATAAGCTTGAGAACATAATTCACAACTAACGTAGCTGCCAAGTGCAAGCGTAATATTATCATAAATAGGTGATAAAATTCCAAGCTACAGTATCTTTTAATAAGAAGATGAGGTAAAAAGTGAAATCATGGCAAAGAAAGCAACACTGGAAGCTGAGACTTCGGTGAAATATGGTTCAAGCATCTAATTTCTGTTCATGCATGTGTTGGTAAACGAATCTTGAAATTCTTTTCCAACAATACCTGTCATCAATTGGGTATGACAAAAAAAAAAAAAAAAAAAAATCTCTAGATGAATGAGTTCAAGCAAACTACAAAAACAACAGATTTCAAACCAATAAAAGATTCTTTTCCAACAATCTAACCATTTGCCTTTCAAAGAAATCAACTGCCAGGGCCAGCCAGACCTGCCTCAGCTTTAAAATCCTCCATATAAACTCTCAGCAGAATTTGGATTAATCAGCCTGATCTTCGCCACACGCTAAAAAGAATAGGAATTTCAATGGCATTAAACAGCAAGACAACTACCTAAGGAACAATAGGTAAACTTTAATATGACTAACCCTTTGGTTTCTCAGTCTAACCCTTCAGCAAAATAACCAAAAAGCATACACAGGGTTCAGTCCACAGACAGATTTTTGTGTTTAGAGTATTAAACCGCAGTACCAAAAGCCATGATCAGCTCTCAGCATACTATGAGAACAAAAAAGTTGGACAATATTATTAGTCCTAATTATTATCAAACTATTCAAAGGATGTCAAAGATGACAAATATAAGGTTATAACATCAACAGTAATTGCAAACGATCACAGAGGCCAACATCTCTACTAGATGGACTAGGATAACCACATTCATCAACCAGGAGACACCTTGTTATGTCTTGACATATCAGAAGCCATCAAAAAAGAAGATACCAACAAACAACAGCATAATCAAAATTTGATCACAAATAAAAAGCTGTCAATTGATTCTATATAAGCAACATAGAACTGAAGAAAACTCTATTAAGTTATCCAAAAATTCATATGTACATCTGCAACTACTAATATATCAAACTACGTTCACCCAATTCTCTGACTGCCCACAATTAGATAGAGCAAAAGAAAACAGCAAAAGCTAGCCACATGATGGAAAAGAACTTATTCCCCCGACCAAAAAACTTCCCTTTCATCTATACAAGTCAGTGCTGCTGATTATTTCTTCAGATTGCATCAAAAAATTGCAGAAACCTCCATCACTAGGACAATCCCAAAAGATGTTACCTAAGCTAAGCCTGCAAACAGAAAATCATGCTGTCAATCCCATATATCAAACCAATCCAGCAAAGCAAGAGCTCGTAAATGGCAATAAAAAATTATACCTTTCCAGGGTGTTCAGAAACTTTATATGAATCCGCAGTTATAGATTGCAACCAAGCACCTGGAAACACATTCTGCAGCGAAAGAGACAATCAAATTGTCAAATCCCAAAAAAGCAGAAGAATAGGAAACAAAGAGGCCAGAAATATTATTTTACAGAATACGATCAGATTAAGGTTAAACTTTTGACTTACATCCATTAGTTTCTGAACAGTTTTTGATCTCTTCTTAGGTCTCCTAGAAGGCTTAGATCCCAGTAAAGCAAACAAATCCTCTTCAATCTCTTCTCTCGAGAGGGCAAGTGTGAATCCAATCTTCCTCTTCTCCTTCTTCTGATTCTCTGATCTATTACCACTGTTGGGATTCACCTGCGGTGATTGAGCTCTTTTTGCGTGCTGCACTGTGGATCCATTGTTCTTAAAACCACTTCCATTCAAATTCAGCGACGGCCTTATTGGTTTCCTTGGCCTAAAATTCCATGTCTTTTGCAACGGCTCGTCGTCATCAAAACTAGCCAGTAGCTTCCCCTCGTCCTGAACCTCATTATCCTGGACTTTTACCTCAGCTTTTCCCTCCTCTTCAGGTTGAATTTCCTCCGCAAACTTGGTGGTTTTCTGCCGGATTTTAATCAGAAACTTCGAAGATCTGCTTTCAGTATTCTGTGCCTCTGCCTCTGCCCCTGCCCCTGCCCCTGCCCCCTTCAATTTTCTCTCATCTCGATCAGGCGATGATGTAAATACTCCATTCTTAACAACAGAAGAAACCGAAGGTCTAGAGTGCCTCCGGTACTCAATTAAAGGCTTGCTGCTTTTCACACAAGACTCCAGCTTTCCGGTTCCATTGCCACGGACAGGAGACTGATTCAGTAGCGGCGCAGTTAATTCATCTGCGCCATCTCCATGTAGCATCGGAGACGCCGCTGAGTCCTCGCCGCCGAGCATCGCTGCATGACGAGACGGAGATGATGCAGCAACTGAGTCTGCTGCGCTGCGCAAGGGAGAGTTAAGCGACTGCCTCCGCGGAGGAGAATCATGACTGAAAGGCGGCGATCGGTGAGGCGAGCCGGAGGCAGATAGCCTGGCGGCGGAAGATGAAGCCGAGCGAGGACGTTGGTGATTGCCTTTCCATTTCAGGTGCGACAATGAGAAATTGTGAAGCGGCTGAGATTTCGCCGGCACCGTCGACGCCATTGATCGAAACAGTAAATCTCCAGCAGAAGTGTCTGAGTGCGAGAGAAAGAGAGAAGATTTTGCAGAAACTGAATTAAACAAAAATAGGGCTAATCTGTAACAAAGTTTGAGGAGATAGATTTAGGATAGATTTGCTTCATGGATAGATTGGGTTTATTAAATGTGAGAATCTAATTCTAATCCTACTTCTAATTGCCTGAAAAGGATCGCCAAAAACCCTAATGTAAGGCAGTCTAGTCTAGTGCGTGTGTGTGTGTGTGTTTTGCGCCCAGGAAGGAAGGGAAAGAGAGATGGCTTGGAGACGAGGTGAAAGTGAGGAGACGGTTCTACATAAACAAATATACCACCGCTACTACTGACCAGGTCAGAGAGTCGACAAAGAGGATTGGCATCAATCAATCACAATCAGGTACTATAAGAAATTTCCGAGTTGGATTTGTATTAGTGTTGGAATTAGGGAGATTTATATCTAGATATTCTTTGTAGTCTTCAAACGTTGGGCCGTGTTTGCGTTGCTATTTTAATGAGTTTTTGTCAAAAAAAAAAATATATATATATATATATATATATATACACACCGTAAAAATTTGATTTATGATTAGAAAAGACGAAAATTTTTCATCAAAAAATCACAATCTAACGTTGATTGCCTTTATGCTCAATTGCACAAGGGCATAAGTAGAGTTTTCAAATTTAGAGAATAATGCTCAATAAATGCTCAATTGCATTTGTTTGCATGGGCTTTTGTATAAATACCGGTTGGATTTGATCATGGTTAAGTGCATACCTACATAAGTGTTTTCTTTGTATGGATTTGTGTATTTGATAAGATATGAAGTTAAATTTTTTTAATTGTATTTATATTTTTACTGAGTTCATGATACGAAGGTCGAAGTTTATTTTCATTTTTTGAGACATAAAAATTTATTAGTATAAGTATAAATTTGATCTTGTATTGAAGTGTTTTTTTTTTTGTTTTTTAAACCAAAACTCTACTCCTAACTCTATAAAACAATGTATATGCAATATTGAATATCTTAAAAATATTTCTATATATCACCCAAAAAGATTTTTTTAATAAAAGTACCGTAATTCCAAATTATGTTGAGACCACCCTTTCCAAATATTTCTACTTGTTTTCTGTTATCGAGGCTGAGACTGCCAAGTGACTTGGCCGTTTATGAAACTCCAATTTAAACCTAAAATGAGGAAGACTAATAAGTCTTGCTCGAATTTTGATTAAATTAGTTAATGAAGTAATTTTGAATGAGTTTTTTTTTTTTATTGAAGTGGACTTAAAAGAACATAGGATATAGATACATGCCAAGGATTGTATATTCTGTTGGCTGTGTGAAAAGAAGATTTGAGGAGAATCAGAGGGGCTTCCATTTGTCATGCAATGCTGGACACGGGTCATATAGCTGTAAAAATCGTCAATTTAATCCTTAAACTATTTCACTAAAGCTAATTTGGTCCCTTAATATTTATCGCATGAATTAAGTCCCTTAACTAAAATTCTTGTGCCAATTGAAGACTTATATGGTGTCACCACACAAAACACATGTTTCTGTACACAAATCAACGGCCAGGCAGGGGTTTTTTTGGAAGTACACAATAGAATTTCTACGAGAAGCAAGACACCGGCCATTTTGCATCCAAATTGAGGGAAACCTTTGAAGCGAAATCGGAGATTTCACTCAATTCCACTCCTCTTCTAGATGTCATTCTGTCTGTGTTTTTGGATCCAACGCTTTTTTTGGATCTCTCTCCATCCAGTCCCTATTCACTGATCTCGATTTCCCATGATAACCAGCCTAGATAGTCACCTGTTAGTTGCTGTGAGAAGAGGACGGAAACCAACCTATGGTCCAAAACTCTAAATCTGAAGGATTGTTTTCGGGTACTTTATTGCTTATTTGCATCCAAAGCCTTGAGCTTTAGGTGAAAAATCTTTCTGGGTTTTGATCAGTTGAGAATTGTACCACGCCATCTAGATTCTTGGGCTTCGGTTACATGTGCTTTAAAAGTCAAAATCCGCAGTGAATTCAGTTTTTAGTATTACATTTGAGGCTAAAAATATAAGTTTTGGTTATGTTTGATTGAAGTCTGTTCTTTTTTGTGAATTAATTTTAAAAGGGCCGTTCTTGCTTTCTAGGAATTGGAGGTTTTTGGAAAGGGAAAAAAGGAAAAAAATTATCTTTGTTGTTTGGGAATAATTGATGGGTTCGGGTGGGTTCTTCATGATATGTATTATGCATTCTTTGGTGGCCTTGAGCTGTGGAGGCATGATGATGTTCCATAATTACGAGTTCCTTGAATTCAGCCACGGGAGAGACCGTGCCAGTAAGTTCGCAGGATCAACCCCTCATGATCAGCTGTTAATCCGAACTTCGGATTCATTTTCAGGGTTGTTATTGTTTGCAATTGGTTTTCTCTTGCTCATGGTAGCTTTTGTAAAGGATAGGTACTTTCAGAGTTATTTTGCCAGGAGGTGTGTGCTTCTCCATTCTCGGCCGCAATTTGGAGAATATACTTCGAGAGGAAGCTTGAAGTCCTTGACCGCCACGATTGGCTTCAAAGGTTTCCCCAATTTGGATGCAAAATGGTCGGTGTCTTGCTTCTCGTAGAAATCCTACTATGTACTTCCAAAAAAGCCCCTGCCTCATCGTTGGTTTGTGTACAGAAACATGTGTTTTGGGTGGCAACACCGTATAAGTCCTCAATTGGCACAAGAATTTTAGTTAAGGGACTTAATTCATGCGATAAAATATTAAGGGACCAAATCAGCTTTAGTGAAATAGTTTGAGGACTAAATTGGTGATTTTCCCTAACTTTAACCCTTGGAGGACAAATCCATCGGCTTACAATTAATTAGCTTCCTTGCACTAAGTGTGTTTGAATTGCATATTATTTCCACCTTATTAACACACATTGACTTGTTTGCATCATCAACACATTTGTTTGCATCATCAACACAATTAATTGACTTGACCGCCACGATTGGCTTCAAAGGTTTCCCCAATTTGGATGCAAAATGGTCGGTGTCTTGCTTCTCGTAGAAATCCTACTATGTACTTCCAAAAAAGCCCCTGCCTCATCGTTGGTTTGTGTACAGAAACATGTGTTTTGGGTGGCAACACCGTATAAGTCCTCAATTGGCACAAGAATTTTAGTTAAGGGACTTAATTCATGCGATAAAATATTAAGGGACCAAATCAGTTTTAGTGAAATAGTTTGAGGACTAAATTGGTGATTTTCCCTAACTTTAACCCTTGGAGGACAAATCCATCGGCTTACAATTAATTAGCTTCCTTGCACTAAGTGTGTTTGAATTGCATATTATTTCCACCTTATTAACACACATTGACTTGTTTGCATCATCAACACATTTTTTAATCACCTTTTCGTCTCACATACATCACATCAAAAAAGTGTTACAGTATTTTTTCACAAAATTATCTCAAATAATTTACTATCCAAATTATGTTATTTGAAATAATTACTGTAGCATTTTTTGTGATGTAATGTATGTGAGATAAAAAAATGGTTGAGAATTTAAAAAGGTGAGTTGAAAAATGTGTTTATGATGCAAACGAATTATTATTTGGAAAAATTTGGTTCCAAAATCTATTATTTCTTTGACCACAAGATACAAGCTCATTCACATAATCATTAACGTTGGTTCAGTGATCAGGAAGAATTTTTAAAATTCTCTCCACTGGCAGACTTAGAATTCAAACACTAGAGGCCCTAGAGCTGGCAGTTGGAGAAAATAAAGGTATGTGAATGGTAATGGATGAGTAAAGCTGAAGTGTGAGTTCATCAATGAGTTTTATCATTTACATATGCATATTTATTTAAGGTGCATCTTTCTCGTTTAGTAGGAGGAAAAAGATTGGAAATTAAATGTACATTTAACTGCATCGCATCTAGTTTTTTTTTAAAGCTACATTTAGTTAGTTTAAAGAAAAATATTGAAGTGGACTAGTGTCCTGAAGAGCATTCATGGTGAACATAAATCATTTTTTATGTGTGTACCACTAAAACATTAGTGATTTAGTCTTTGTCTTCATAGTCTCAAACTGGAGGAATAACTTGTGATACAATAATTTATTGCTTTTAAGTGCATCTAGTGCTTTAATCTGTAGATATTTTATGATCAATAATAATTGAGGTCACATAATATTTCGGTTGTTTATGTAACATCAAAAACAAGCTTTAAATTTTGTGTAACGAATACTATAGAATGCTCAATCTTGAATCACATACATTCTTTTTTTTTCAGTATAGAAAGAATGATAATTGCCCCATATTATATTGTAGGAAAAAATGGCTTCTCCGTCTGTTTTTGGCAATGTCAACTTGTCAATTGATTTTAATGCTACCATACTATTTTGCGTACCATAGATACACATACTTACCTTGTAATGTTTGACAGAGCATCTAATCCAAAAGGGTTTACTAAAAATGTTTTAAAAAATTAATTGCACTGTTTATTTGAAAAATACGTGTACGTAGCTAAAAACAACGACAGAAAGAATTGTTCACTCCAGATAAATTGTTGCTAAAATCACCTTTGTTAGCAAAAGAAAAAAAAAGCAAATCTATTGCCGAATCCACTATGACTCTATAGTATAATGATGATCCTAGCTAGTATTAAGAATAGGGATAGTTTTAGAAACCACTCTTGAGATTTCTGACAATTTCGCTGACCCCCCCTGAGGTTTCAAAAATAACACTGACCTCTCCTCAATTGATTTTGGGCCCCATTGCTGATGTAACCTGGAATGAATTTACTGCTTTGCCCTAATGCATAAAAGGGTGATAAGAACGAATTTCTAGAAAAATATAATTATGTCATTAAATAAATGAACTAATTAAATGATATTAACCGTGGTTCTATCTCTAATATGTCAATGTAACTGCACTTAAGAAATGGCACTAATTGATGTGCCAACATGATGCCATTTTCTTGTGATTCGACATGACTTCAGAGAGCAACACAAGGACAGTCTCATACGAAGACTTGGGGAAGATAGAAAAATTGAGGGAAAGGAAGGAGAAAAGCATGGCTCCCCTCAGGTTAAAATCTGCCGATTTGCATTAAGATTATTGACATGCTACCCACTCATGCTTTTGTATATGGTTGGCATTAGTGACAAACAATCAATGGTCATGAAATTTGGCTTTGCAATCCTTACCACCTGCTTCATTCTTTTGGGGCAGATGGTGTTTTGAAACTATCTTGGATTGCGGCAATAATTATGTAGTACTACAACTGCTACAATTATAGCAATTTTGAACTAACGTCAAGTGACTTATGTTGTCTTACTAACTAGTTCAGCTA